GGTGCCAGCCCCAGTCTGTTCTTCCTCTCTTTCTGCACGCTAGCCCCTTGGTAGCTAGATGGGGTGGAGATAGACTGTGTCCCCAGCTATACACAACATTGCCCAGGCTCTCTCTCAGGTGGGTTGGCTCAGGAGGTGTATACCCTCCAACTTCTAGGAAGGCTTTTTTTCCCCTTAGGAAGGGAGGGAGGACAGGGGCGGGATGGAAAGAGAGATTCCAGAAACGCTCGTTAAAGGGCTGAGCCTCTCCCAGGGGTGACGGCCTCCCCACAAGAACATGCCTCTCGCAAAGGCCTTCATTCTTCCCTCGCCAGAGGAGAAGAGGAAACACAAGAAGAGTGCCTAAGGCAGACCCCAATTCCTACTTCACGGACGTAAAATGCCCAGGATGCTATAAAACCACCATAGTCTTTAGCCATGCGCAAACAGTAGGAAAAGCAGGTTGGTTTTTTTTTTTTTTTTTTAATCGGAGTCTCACTCTGTCACCCAGGGTAGAGTGCAGTGGCATGCTCACAGCCACCCCAACGTTGACCTGCTGGGCTCTAGCGATCCTTCTGTCTCAGCCTTCCAAGTAGCTGGAACTACAGGCACACACTAACATGCCCGGCTAATTTATGACTTATTGTAGAGATGAAGTCTTGCCAGGTTGCCCGGACTGGTCTCAAACCTGCAGGCTCAGGCAATCCACTTGCCTCATCCTCTCAACGTGCTGGGATTACGGGCTGGGCCACTGACCCCAGCCAAAAGCAGGCTTCTAGAAGGATGTTCCTTCAGGAGGAAGCAGCATTAAAAGCACTCCAATCAAGAAGAAAGAGAAACCATCCTAATAAACAGATTTGGGATAAATAAATAAAAGGTTGATTCATCCAGGGTCAGGTGCTCTCTTGACTATCACTACTTTCTCCTTAGGCCTGGAAGGTCTTGTGATGGCTGGTGCAACTACCTCCATCATGGCACCAAGAGGGAAAGGACCAGGGATCCAGAAAGACTTTGGTTCTGCTGCTCTGAACCTCTGAAACAGTCAGCAACCACTGTGATCTGGAATTCTCATGGTGGGAGAAAAATTCACCTTCGGGAACCTGAACTGCTGTAGCTGGGCCTGTTACTAGTGGCCGAGTGCATGTCCTACTGAGTGTACATTCACAGGACATCACACAGGGGACCAGACCCTGGAACGGTGGCACTCATACCCTCTGCAGCAGGCTGCCCCCAGTGTACCTGTGTGTTATGTGCAGCCTCTGGCCAGGGGCAGTAGGCACTGCCCCTCCAGAAGTCAGAACAGGGCAAAAGATGGCGGAGACCAGGCTGGCAGCATTGGCATGTGCTTTCTTAAACTAATATTGAGGCCTCTGGTAAAGTCTTTGGCTTGCAGGGGACTTAATTTTCAAACGGGCAGAAACCTCAGAAAAGGCATTTGTAACTTTTTCCAGATTTAGCCGAAGTTTTCACACATCTTGAAATTACACTGTGACATTCTGAGCTGCTGGTATGGCAAGGACCTAAGAATAGGTGTAATTGTCAGTTACTCGCATGTCACTCTCACAGCCACTGAGATGTGCCTGTGCTTCTACTTGGGAACTGGGGCACAGGAAACAGAGGCAGGAGCAGAGTCAGGTTGCGGTGAGGCAGCCGAACACAGGCCCTAGATCCTGCCGTGTTCCAGAAAGGGAGCTGATTGCCGATGTCACAGCCCATCCCTGCTCCTGAGAGGGGTCGGCCTGCAGCACTACTGTGGCCTGCACCTGGACAGCCTGCCTGAGATTCTTGCTCCCATGGGTGAACATTCTGGAAGGGTCTCACCTCTTCACTGGGTCTGGGGTCTGCCAGGGAAGCTCTCTTCCAGGGATGCCCCCAGCTCTGCCAAGTCCCTCTGTGGACTCATTCTGGTGTGTATGTGTGTGTGAGAAGGCCCAGGGCAGGTGTGCTTCAGCTCCAGGTGTGTAGTGCTGGCCCAGCTCTGCATGAACTGGGACAAGTCACACTGGGCTCAGTTTCCCCTTCTCCACGCTCAGGTGTTGGAGCCAGTGAGCTCTGAAGCTGCTTTCCAGCTCTGACGCGTTTTGAAACCCAGAAAGGCCTTCACGTCAAGGGTCCATGTAACGAGAGACAGAAAAGGAAGCTGAGCCCAGCACATCAACCTGAGAACGCTGACTGGCCTTCTCTGGCTCCAACCTCTCTGGTCTCTTCAGGATATGAACGGAGAGGCACAAATGGATGCCATTTCCCTGTCCTGGGGACTATGGTTGGTGAATGAGGACTGTCCTGTGGCCCCACCTGGGCAGACCCTTGGGGCGATCAGGTGACACTCAGGGGCACTGCACACCTCCCAGTGACTGTTTCACTCCAGACTGCGTCTTCCAGACTCCATCCAAACTTTTCGTGTTACTCTTGGAAGAAAAATCACATTTACAAAACACAGAGCATGAAGGGCCCAGTATTCTGCATGAGTCTGCTTTGTTTTCTTTTCTCTTTTGTTCTTTTGTTGTTTTTTGAGTGGGAGCCTCACTCCGTCGCCCAGGCTGGAGTGCAGTGGCACACTCATGGCCGCCCCAGCGTCAACCTGCTGGGCTCTGGCGATCCTTCTGCGTCAGCCTTCCAAATAGTTGAAACTATAGGCGCGTGCTACCACCTCCGGCTTTTTGATTTATTGTAGAGATGAGGTCTCGCCAAGTTGCCTGGGCTGGTCTTGAACCCGCAGGCTCAGGCAACCCACTTCACTTGCCTTGGCCTCCCAAAGTGCTGGGATTACAGGCTGAGCCACTGAGCCCTGCCTGTTTTGTTTTCTAAAACAACACAGTGTATTTTGTGACGAGAAGCATTTACCAACAGCAAAAGGCAGGTGATAGGAAGACACCCAGCAGACTGTTCAGTTCCTGCGGAAGAAGTTTTTGTACTCAGCTCTCAGAAGGCCTCAGACGTCAACAGAGAGGTCCCGAGATATGCCACCTTCCTTTCTCGATTCCACAAAAACTGAAAATGAATCAATTTTTCTAGACTTGTAGTATCTTAGATGCAGAACAACCAATTGGCTTTCAGTTCCTGCCAAGATGGAAAGCAGCACAGGAGGCTAACATTATGTGAGAAAAGATAATTCACCTTGGCCGGGCTCGGTGGCTCAGCCTGTCATTCCAGCACTTTGGGAGGCCAAGGCGAATGGATTGCCTGAGTCCGCGGGTTCGAGACACGCCTGGCAACTTGGCGAGACCTCGTCTCTACAACAAATCAAAACTCAGCCGGGCATGGTAGCGCACGCCTGTAGTTCCGGCTACTCGGAAGGCTGAGGTGGAAGGATCGCCGGATCCCAGCGGGTCGAGGCTGCGGTGGCTGGGAGCGGCCACTGCACGCCAGCCTGGGCGACACAGTGAGACTCCAACTCAAAAATTAAAAAAAGATAATTCACTGCGGAACAATGGAGTCGAGCAGGACACACGGATTTCAGAAACCCATCAGGAAACCATGAGAACCCCCTGGGGCACTCGAGGCTGCCTGGTGTTGGTGTGTGTGTGTGCGTGTGTGCACATGTGTGCATGTGTGTGTGCATTTTTGGGAGGGAAGCAGATGGCAGCAAGAGACATTAAGTGAGAGCAAAGCTTTTACCATCTGGCTCCTGCCTCCTGACTCCTCAGTTGCTGAGAAATTAGTGCTATGGAGCCCAGGGCAGAACCAGCAGGGTCACTGAGGCAGTGCTTAGACCCTGTGGGCGTCTCAATGAATCCTCCCTCCCCAGCCCCTGGGATGACAGCCTGGGGGTGTGGCCTTCTCCCACACTGCTTTTCACAGGGGTTGAAGATAAGCCAGAGGGCTTGTGCTAGAGGGCTGCACAAGGGCGGAGCCAGCTGGGCTCTGTGGGCTTCAGCACCTTCTTCTTGCCTCCCTTTATGAGGTGCCACCCCAGGGCCCAGGCAGGGCCTTTGCCTGTGGCTTCTGCACAGAGTTGCTGAAATTATCAGAAGAACACAGGCTCAAAAGTGAAAATGAACAAGAGGAAATACTGGAAGACATAAGAAGACAGTTTTTATTGGTTTATTTATTTTGAGTTGGTGTCTCACTCTGTCGCCCAGACTGGAGCGCAGCGGCTGCTCCCAGCCACCGCAGCCTCGACCTGCTGGGCTCCGGAGATCCTTCCACCTCAGCCTTCCAAGTAGCCGGAACTACAGGCGCGTGCTACCAAGCCCGGCTAATTTTTAAATTTATTGTAGAGATGAGGGCTCGCCAATTTGCCCAGGCAGGTCTCGAACCTGCAGGCTCAGGCAATCCATTCACCTCAGCCTCCCAAAACACTGGGATTACAGGCTGAGCCACCACACTCGGCCAGAAGACAGTTTTTAAAAGAAAGAGCTCTGGTAAGGAAAACAATCATGCCTTGAGAATGTAAAATAATATCAGAAGCCAAGAGAAAATTACAAGCTGAGATAGAAAAGGGTAGCATCGGGCAAGCAGGTCCCTACAACCCAAAGGTGGGTGCTGGGACCGTGGGGTGTGGGCCAGGGAGATGTGAATCACATTTTGTTTTCCAGAAGCTGCTGCCTCAGCCCACCATAGGCTTCCCTCCTGGTGGAGATGCCAACCCACCTGGCGGAACCCATCTGCAGTGGCAGCTGCACCTGGTCTGCAGAAGTCGCCCTCATCTGACTGGCGGGCAGAGTTTCAGGGCCCTAAAAGTGGCGGTAGGAAAATGTATGTGGTGGGTGGGGAAGCGTGAGGCCTTTTCGGGGTCTGACATAATCATTTTGTGGAGGTGCTGAGGTTGGTTAGCTACCAGAAGGGGCACCCACAAGAAGAGGAGGTATCTAGACAGCCACCTGCAGCCAACACCAGAGCCTTTAGCAGCTGGGAGGAGGTGGCTGGGTCAAGGCTCTTGTCCTTGGCCACCCACCCAAACCCTCAGGGTGTGTTTCCTGGGGGAACCACTGAAGCAGAGACAGAGACCTGGAGAGCTGTGGGCATGGGGCAGCTACAGTGGAGTCCCGGCCATGGAGGTGCATCTGTGCATCTGAACCCTAGCTGTAGGCACAGAGTGGCGGCAGTAGCACTTGGACATCCAGCACACTGTCTGGCGTTGGTGACAGCAGCAGGGGAGAGGAGAGGGGACAACTGGAGTTCTCAGCATCCTGTCTGAGGGGCTGTGGGGTCCACCTTGCTTCTAGGGTGGGTGGCCTCCGGGGTTGCCTGTTGGACAATACAGATACCCAAGGAGGAGGGATCAAGAGATAGCACTTCTCTGGAGAGACCTCACCTGTGCCCCAAGCTGCTGAACAGCTGATGGCCACCAGCCTGTGTGCCCGGACAGAGAGACTAGAAGGGGCTCAGGCTCTGGGGTCTTTGCTGATACAGTCTGAGTCAGATCCACACCCCACACGGGGCCGATTTAATCTCTTGATAAAAATTGTTCCTTGTTATTTTAGATTCAGGGAGATACAAGTGCATGTTTGTTACACAAACATATTGTTTAGTGATGGGGACTGGGTCACTCTCCTCAGATAGTGAACATTGTACCCAATAGGTAATTTCTTTTGTTTCTTTTCTTTTCTTTTTGGTTTTTTTTTTTTGAGTTGGAGTCGTACTCTGTCATCCAGGCTGGAGGGAAGTGGCACACTCCCGGCCTCCCTCCCAAGATGTGAGGAGGCCTGGGGCCTGGATAGGCCCACCATCACTCACTGACCTGGCTGTCAAGGTCTGGGATGCGGCCACTGCAGCCACATCCCCTGCCCCTGGGTCACACAAAGGAAAAGAAGATGAGAGACAGAAACACAGGCGGCGCAGAGGATGCGGGTCGTGGGCATCTTGAGAGGTCGGTGGCTGAGCCGTGGGGCACATGGGCGTTGTTTCACAGTCCTCCCTCGAACTTATCACCACACGGAAGTGCTGATTCTGAGCTGAGTGTGGTGGCCACAGACGATGAGTTCTTATGACTAGAAGCAGATGCTGGGTCCTCACGCCTCCAGTGCCTCTCGCGACTGAGGAGGGTGGAAGGCTGCAAGGTGCTTGAGCTTTGGGTGCCCTATTTCGGAAGCATCATTCTTGCCAAGCTTGCAGGGGGAGGAAGAAAGGCAACCGAGCTCCAGGCCTGGTTCCAGAACTGGCTAAACTCCTGAAGCCTCAGTTTCCCACCTGCAGATATAAGGAACAGCACTGCCTTGGCCAGTTCGTGGAGGACGCATCCTAACTAACTACAAAGATGATCTGGTACAGAGTACTTGCCACACGCAGGCGCTATTTCCCTCACGCCTCCTGTCAGGCCAGGGAAGGTGTGAACTCCTGCAGGAAGGTTTTTGATGAGCTAGAAATACCACAACGGTGATCTGGTGGGTGCCATCTAGCCCAGCAGCTGCTAAAGCTTCAGTAGCGGATGGACGCGAAACCACAGGGCAAAGGCCAACAAGCGGCAGGTGAACCTTGCACTAGAAAGTTAATCGCCTGTCGCTCTGCTAGTGCCCGGAACTGCTGGTCCTGTGCCCAGATCCTTGGCAGGGGTCTCCTTCTGCCCATAATGGACACTGCTATAGACTGAGTCACACAAAAGAAAAGAAGATGAGCCGGGCTCGGTGGCTCAGCCTGTAATCCCGCGCCTTTGGGAGGCTGAGGTGAGTGGATTGCCTGAGCCCACGGGTTC